TAATATGTATATTGATCATGTAGAGGAATGGCATACATTGGTGTAACCATCACTCATTCCCCTTTACACTCTCCCTCTCCATGATTATGTTTCCCATTATCATTTTGTGATTCTCATTTTATTTTAAAACAGAGACGATATCAGTAAGACCTCAGCTCACAGGTGCAGCACCCTGTGCCCGGAGTAATGGTAGCTGAACACAAGGTCACAGTTATTCCCTAAGACCATTCATCATGCATTATGAGCACTCTGCATGCATCACTTCAGATGAGACATTATAAATCCCCAACAAGGTCTGGAAAAGGGAAGAGGCCTGTAGTTATTTAAGTATAACATGTACAAACATGCACTTATGCGTTACATGTATTGGACTGTTTTTAAATCTTGCTGTAAAACTTGAGTGGCGCTGGTACACTGTAGTCAGTCACGTTGGGCAATTTAAGGCTTTGGTGGCCGATTGGAACCGTGCTCAGTGAACCAGCTGCATTTGGGGAAGAAGTCCCCCCATCCCTGAGGACCCCTGGGAACTGCCTGGCCATTCTCAGGGCAGCTCTGCCCCAGGAGGTGTGAGCAGTGCCCACATCGGGGGGGGGAGGGAGCGAGGAGCCAGCAGAGGGTCCAGCGGCAGGAAGGGATGGCCAGGTGATGAAGCCTCAGTGTGCCTCCGCGTCCGCCTCCGGCGAGGCCTCACGAGCCCCCAGAACATGCGTTCGTGCCCAGTGGCAGCTCAGGGCAGCCGGCTCGCGGCACGGCTGTGGTTGCTGATAAACCACACCGAGCACCCTCCTCCAGAAGGTGAGAGGTAGGCCCTGACCACCCATCACTCCCTCTTCCTGCGTCAGACCGCCCGCTCCTGCACCCCAGTCACAGGCCAGGATCTGAGGGCAGAGACACCCCAACATCCCTCCCGCGGCTGAGACCACACACACTCACCGCGTGCGGTTCCCGGGAGCTCTGGGCCTGGTCCTCTCCCCCCTCCCCCCTCCCCTCCTGGCTCTTCTGGGTTCTTCTCTAGCTCTTCTTCTTCTTCCCGAACACGGGGTTTGTAAGGACTGTAACGCCCAGGGGACATGAGAACGTGAGCCTTCAGTGGTGGGTGCTGATGGAGCGGACGATGTGGCTGTGAGAGGACCCACTGTGGCTTCGCTCCTCTCTCTCCACTTGGAAATGTGCAGTTTAATAGAACCTCCCTGCCCTGGAACCACACAGGAGAGAGGACCTGGGGAGATGCCCTGCAGGAGGCGAGCGGTTAATGGGAGCCGGGACTTAAACCGCCATGCGGATGTGGGTAATCGCTCACGGAAATCCAATCCTGGCAGCTCCATGGACACGGGAGTTTGGTAAAGACTGCATGTGAGGGCTTGAACTCCGAGTAGTTGCTGGGGAAATCTGAGAGTCCTCTGTGGAGAGTAGGGAAGCCTTGATACGAGACAGTGTTACCTAGTGGGTGAGTCCTAGGGAGATGGTGGAGAAGCAGGTGGGGAGCTAATGGAGAAGCAGGTGGGGAGATGGTGGGGAAGCAGGTGGGGAGATGATGGGAAGCAGGTGGGGAGATGGTGGAGAGGCAGGTGGGGAGATGGTGGGGAAGCAGGTAGGGAGATGGTGGAGAAGCAGGTGGGGAGATGATGGAGAAGCAGGTGGGGAGATGGTGGGGAAGCAGGTGGGGAGATGGTGGGGAAGCAGGTGGGGAGATGATGGAGAGGCAGGTGGGGAGATGGTGGGGAAGCAGGTGGGGAGATGGTGGAGAAGCAGGTGGGGAGATGGTGGGGAAGCAGGTGGGGAGATGGTGGGGAAGCAGGTGGGGAGATGGTGGGGAAGCAGGTGGGGAGATGGTGGGGAAGCAGGTGGGGAGATGATGGAGAGGCAGGTGGGGAGATGGTGGGGAAGCAGGTAGGGAGATGGTGGAGAAGCAGGTGGGGAGATGGTGGGGAAGCAGGTGGGGAGATGATGGGAAGCAGGTGGGGAGATGGTGGGGAAGCAGGTGGGGAGATGGTGGGGAAGCAGGTGGGAGATGATGGAGAGGCAGGTGGGGAGATGGTGGGGAAGCAGGTGGGGAGATGGTGGGGAAGCAGGTGGGGAGATGGTGGGGAAGCAGGTGGGGAGATGGTGGGGAAGCAGGTGGGGAGATGGTGGGGAAGCAGGGAATGGGTTAGGAGGCAGAGACACAGGCAAGGACAAGCTGAAGTTTCTGACTCTTGCTCAGAAGGCGGTTTAAATTAAACACCTGTGGTTCGATCACGTCGTTTGAAGTGTTTCTCCTGTTCAAAAAGCGCAGGTATTTATGCGGGAAACTGCCCAGTGCCAGACGGTCTCATTTCAGAGGTTCCGCCTGTTCACGTGGCAGGAAGACATTCACATACTGGTAGTTCCCGTCTGCTGATCATTTCAACAGCTTAATTACAAATCTCAGCAAAAAGAGTTAAAATGTTAACTTATTAGGAAAGTGTCTTGTAAAGGTAGAGACACATTCAGAAGAAAGAAAGAAAAGCTCTTCTAAGGATCATTTTGGTGAGAGGTGAGGAAAGCCTCAGAAGGGCCTGGACCCACGATCGCTTCATGTGGACACAGTGTTATGTGCGCATAAAGGGTGGGAAATGGGCCGCTTCCCATGAATATTCAGCCAATAGAGTTGTCACCGGCAATCCTGTTTCCCTGAGCTCCGCTCAGAGGGATTCCCGAGAGCCGGAACCGATTTCACAGGCCAGGCTGGAGGTCAGCTTCAAAGCCGCCAGCGGGACCGGCACTGAAGGGGGTCAGAGCTCGGGCGTCCCTGGCTACCCATGAGGGGACAGCGGGCACAGATTGTCCCTGGGAAGGTAACCAATTCGTTCCCGGCGTCACACATTCCTCAGAGGAATCCTTCCCCGAGTCTGAGGCGCTGACAATGGCGCTTAGATAAGACCAAGTCAAAATGAAGTCAACAGATAGATTCTGAGTACAACGGCATCGTGCCTAACACCCGCTGTCAGGACGAGGTGTGACGCAGTGTGAGCAGGTAACACAGGTTTTGTACCTCACGTCGCATGGATGGACTCTTTTCCCCGAGGGCTTTCTAATCAACGCCGTCAGCATGCTGGGGCGTTGGAAGACTTTACCCCGGCGTTCCGCTCCCGGACCCGCTGAGAAGGCGTTTCTAAAGACAGCCCGTCAGCGAGGGACCTGTGAGGGTCCGCGATGTCCCGTTCACCCGGTTGCGTGACCGTGTGAGCGATGGCCCACCTACTGCGTTTGGAAAACCAGATGCGTCTTCAGTTAAGAAATGTTTGGTTGGAAAGCCGCTGGCGATGTCGCTGTTTGAAAGCTTGGTGACACGGGGCTTAGTTCATCCGTGTGGTGGGTGAATTTTCAGGGGATTGTCGTCATGGTGGGTAGGTATCCATCCGGCACCTGAAAAGCTGAGCAATCTCACATGTTCACGCGCCGACACCTGTAGGCCTGGGCATGATGGTGACGATGACGACGCCCAGGAGGGCGCTGTCTCCCAGGACGAAGGGCTCACGCTCAGGAACCAAGGCCTGCGAGGGAGTGATCGCGGTCAGAGAGGGGGGTCTGGGTGGCCGGCCGCATTTCCATTATTTCCGTGTCCGTGGGAATGGAAAGGAGAAATGTGCTTCCCTGGGGGCAGTGAGCAACAGGGAGGGTAGCGTTTCTCCAGACCCCGCCCCATGTGGCCCTCGGAGCACAGGATCCTGCTCTATTTTGTTTTGTGTGTTTTTTAATATTTTTTTTATTGATTTTAGAGACGGGAGAGGGGGAGAGAGAGAAACATTAATGATGAGAGAGAACATCGGTCAGCCGCCTCCTGCACGCCCCGCACTAGGGACTGAGCAGCAAGCCGGGCCTGTGCCCTGACCGGGAATTGAACTGTGACCTCCTGGTTCACAGCCGTCACTCAACCACGGAGCCACGCCGGCTGAGCCCTGGTGACCGTTCAATCAGTTTGCCTGACGTGGTGACTTAGGAAAAGGAAGCTGACCTTCTCTCCTGTTAGTTCTCACTTGTTTCTTAGTTTCTCAAACCAAGTTTAAATGATCAATGTTAAAACTGGGGCTCAGGCTGACATTTGATTTCCTATTATTGACTATTGATTTGAAAGGAAAACGCCTCCTCTCCTACAGAGGAGGTCAGTTGAAGTGTTTTATATCCCAAACGTCGTCACATATGTTGGGTTCCAACATTCCTCTGATTTGCTTGGTCTTTCCACTTGAAGGTACTTTTTCCTTTAGAGCTACTGTTTCTTTTTTTTTAAAAGAAATATATTTTTATTGATTTTAGTGAGAGGAAGGGAAAGGGAGAGAGAGATAGAAACATCCATGATGAGAGAGAATCATGGATCGGCTGCCTCCTGCACGCCCCCTACCCGGGGATGGAGCCCACAACCCGGGCCTGTGCCCTGACCAGGAATCGACCTGTGACCTCCTGGTTCATAGGCGGATGATCAACCACGGAGCAACGATTTCCATTTCCTTCCTTTAAACTTGCACCTGTTTGAAGCTCCTGTTTGCCGTAAAGGGATGGGTGTGGGTTGCTGTAGGAGGGAAAGGCTTGAGGGAGACATCGCAGCCCCCCCCCCCCATGTGCAGTGGGAGGGACAAAGCTGGGGGGCCGGGTGCTTATCTGGGGCCGTGTGTTGGTGGTTTGGTTGAGACTCTGGTCTTGCGTCTCCCTGCACCGTGCTGTCCGCTCTAGCGTATGCACCCGGGGGCACCCGATGTGCCCACAACTGCCGTGGAGTCAGAATGGGGCTCAAGATGGGCTCATTGGCGCGACGTTGTCCATGGCGCTGGCATCGCTGGGCCGTGTGCGGGGGAAAGGCTGGCACATGGACTGGAATAAAGAGTTCCAGTGGCAGCTGCAAACCGGGGTCCTGAGTGCTGAGTGGCACCCACTTGCCAACGAGAGCTCAGGAAACTGTTCCTTTAGCCGCCGGATGGGTTCCACGAGGCTGTCGCCTTCCCCGGGCGGGCGGGCGCAAGTAACTCTCCTCTGTGTGTTTGCAGCTCGGACGTGCGGGTCCAACCTGCGGGGGCCCAGCGGCACCATCACCTCCCCCAACTACCCGGTGCAGTACGAGGACAACGCCCACTGCGTGTGGGTCATCACCGCCTCGGACCCCGACAAGGTAAGGCTCGCGCCTCTGGGCGGGCGCAGCAGCACATGGGCTGGGGCAATGGACGGACAGCCAGGCGGCGTCACGCGCCCTGACCTTTGGCTGCTGGAGCTGAACAGTGAGAGCTGGGCTGTGTGTCTGTCCGTCCCCCTGGGCTGGAAGCCAGCCCGGAATCCCACCAGGGTGTGGTGGGTGTGCCCTGTTCTCTCCTGGGTGTGGTGGGTGTGCCCTGTTCTCTCCTGGGTGTGGTGGGTGTGTCCTGTTCCCTCCTCCCCGCCTCACGGAGAGCGTGGACGGCAGCGCTGCTCTGTCCCGGTGCAGGACATAGGATGTGACGTGCGCACAGATGCTGAGGCGGTCGCCACGCGCACTGAGTGAGCACGCATCGCTCACATAGTTATGGATTTTCTTGTGCTGAGAACTTCAGTGTCTTCTCTCTCAGCAACGTCCAAGCGCGTCCGTGAAGCAGCGCCACGTCCAGGTGGGCCTGGCGGAGCGGATGTGCTGAGGGGGGTGTGTTCTGCGAGGCTCTGCAGACCCCGCTTCCCGCCCCATGCGGCGTGGAACATTGCTGGCCCGTGCGATGGGGAATCTTAGCCGGGCCGAACCGGGGAGGCGTGGCAGCAAGCTCAGTGCATCCTCACGTTCTGTGTGGAGCACGGGGGGCGGTGCTGGTGCGGCTGTGGGGAGAGCACCCCAGCTGACAGAGGCCGGGGGATGGGCGGCTGGGAGCTGCTGCGGGTGCAGAGGTCACCCTCGGGTGCGGGTGACCCCCTCTCTCCAGCTGTGTGGCCAGGCAAACAGCTGACCGCGTGGAGCCCGGCTTTGCCATGGAGTCACCGGCACTCACCCCCACCCAAATCCCTGCAGCAGCTGGCACTGGCCGCCCCGCCCCCTCCTCTCCCTCATTGTTACTGAGTGACCGTTAAAGCGACGTGGCCCACCGGGACCTGAAGGCCAGGGGATGGCTTCCCGTTTGATGCCAGTGGAAGCGGGGGCCCTGTGGTGCCCAGGGAGGAACGGTGGGCGGCGTGTCGCGCCCCAGGAGGTCCCTCTGCCGACAGTGAGGCCAGAGCGGAAGGGCACAGGCCGCTGCAGGAAGCGCAGGCTGCAGGATAGAGATGGGAAGGTGGCGGGAGCTGGATCAGGACAAGAACTCGGGTTCCGAGGGAAGGAAATGTACCGGGGAGACTTGAAGGGCCAGGCAGACACAGCGATGCACACACTCACACCGCGCCGTCTCCCGGACGGATAACGAAAAGGAGGGAAGCCGCCGTAACTGTAATGCTCGCAGGAAAACGCAGCTGATCAGCGCTCTTCGGGGAAGGAGCGATTACCTCTTCAAATTATGAAATTATTCCGGGGCGTTTTTACATAATTTTAAGTAACAGATTCATAGGATCCAGAAAAGGCGCTCATTTGCATTGAGATTATGGTGAGGGCAGAATTAAATAGCATGTAAAATAGCTCACGATGTTTGAGATGGGATCTGAGTGGTGAGGGCTCCACAGGAGACCGACGGATGCTGCGAGGCAGGGGTGGGACTGCTACAGCCCTGGCCAAGCGTCCTTGGTGTCGATCCCGGACCCTGTGCAGCCCAGGGACCAGGGTGGGTCTGTTTAACCTGCACTCACTCTTTAAAAAAAAAAATGTTTATTGATGTCAGGGAGGAAGGAAGAGGGGGAGAGGGAGAAACGTCAATGATGAGAGAGAATCACGGATCAGCTGCCTCCTGCACGCCCCACACTGGGGATCAAGCCCGCAACCTGGGCAAGTGCCCTGACCGGGAATCAAACCGTGACCTCCTGGTTCACAGGACGACACTCAGCCCCCTAGCCACACGGCCGGCCCGCACTCACTCTGTCACCTGTCACTGGGCGCCCTGCAGAGTGGGCTGCAGGTGAAGTGCCCTCTGCGTGTGAGCCGCCCCCTGGTTCTGGGCCATCCCACAGTTCGTCCCTGTCACCTCCACATGTCCCCGTCTGTGCCAGCCCGTCCATCCTCATGGCCCAGAGGGCTGCTTTCCAGGAGCCGCGTGTGGCTCTCGGACAGTCTGGGGCTCAGGCCTGTGACTGTCCTTCCTGTGTCCTCTCCCTTCAGGCTCAGGGCATCTGCGTGTCTCCTTCCCACTCACCGGGTTTTCTCAGGACCCGCGGACCCCGCCTTCCTAAATCAGATGAGCTCATGTTATCACCTCTGCTTGCTGCTCCCAGGGAAGGAAGAAAGGGCCAGGCCCACGTTTTTGATTTGCTTGCAATTTGCGCTAAAACCTGAATCGCACGCACACGCATGCACACATTCACACACGCATGCACATTCGTGCCTGCACACACATGCTCACACACATTCGCACGCACACATACACACATGCACACACATGCTCACACACATTCGTACGCACACATACACACATGCACACACATGCTCACACACATTCGTACGCACACATACACACATGCACACACATGCTCACACACATTCGTATGCACACATACACACATGCACACACATGCATGCACACGCATGCACGCACACACATACACACATGCACGCACACATTCGTACGCACACATGCACACACATGCTCACACACATGCACGCACGCACGCGCATGCACTGCAGACAGCGTTTTCAGGATGGGTCTGCATGCAGAAGACACTGAGGAGATAGGGAGCCATGACAGAGACGAGAGGAGACCCCGCACCTGCCCACTCCCTGTGAGTGAAGGGCCAGGGGCGGGGCTTCGGGATGGAGTGGGCGGGGCCAGGAGCCTGGGGCAGGCTCTCAGAGAAGCCATTTACTGATGGGTTTTTCAATAAAAGTGCCTTTAGGGGCGGACACTTCCATCACCTGCGGGTGCAGCGCGGGCATCTGGGATGGGGATGGAATGGCTCTGAAGTATCTTCTCTGTGCGAGTCTCTGCCCAGAGCGGCTGAGCGTCCCGTCGCTGGAACGGCGGGCGTAGCGTGAGGCCACGCTTGCTGGGGAATGAAGAGCTGCATCGACCCGAACACCGAGGGGCACAGAGAACGGGGCATCGTTAAGGCTCGCTTTAACACTACGTCTCTGTCTCCCAGCCAGAGTCCCACGAATCTGCATATTATTTCGGTCCTAAAAACGGCCAAACCCCACATGCTCTGTGTTCCCAGCTAAGCAAGGCCTTTTCTTAGCAGCGTCTGCCGCAGGGAACGCAGAGTCCCTGGTCGCCATTGGCTGGGCTGTGGTCGCCACTTTGCAGGCTTTGGCTGTTGTATTTCTGACCTGCCCTTGGGCCCACAGTGAGCAAACCGCATCTCCACGTGGGGCCCGTGACCTGACTGTCTGCCCGTCTGTGTGAGGCGCGCCTGGTGGGTGTGAAGTCTGTGCTCACGGCCTGCTCCCTGTCTCTGGGACGCCCTGACGGGGGAAGTGAGCTGGCAGCCGGCAGCAGTGCCCGCGGGCCCGGGAGGGGCCAGGGAGCCCAGCAGACGTGTCCCCCTGGGCTCCCTGTGGTCAGAGGGGAGCAGTGTCCTTGACCTGGACACGCCCAGAGGAAGTGGGCCGTCCGCCGCCCCTTCCTGTGAAAGCTGCTGGCAAGGGCGACATGCAGGTGTAGGTGCCATTAGCAGGGGCTACAGCGTGCGCCCCCTCGCTGTGCCTGGCTCCTTGGACCTCAGTGAAGGGATGTGAATGTTTCTCTTTGTAAAATGCATCTGTTTTGTTGAGAAAAAGGCTTCTGTTTCCTTTGACACGTTTTGCTAAAGGACTGAGCCAATTCTGTCCTCTCCCGGGATCACTTCTGAATCCTAACATGACAGACAAAGGGGTTCCTAATTAAACGTCTCATGTTTAGAATATCCATGTGGGCACTCATGATTCTGAATAGTCCCCGTGTGGGATGCCATGGGCACCGCCAGGGGCCGATGTAACACGTGTGAACGTGGAGTAACGGACTTTAAATCATCCAGAGCCCAAGTGTGGGGCCCACACTCCTCTCCTCCCGGACTTGTCCTCGGTCAGCATCACAAGCTCCCGTTGTGACATCATCCATTTAACACCCGGGAAGCACCGTCCGTCCACATCTCTGCTCTACGAAAGCAGCTCTTACCCCGCGCCGGGCTGACTTGCTCCACAGATGCAGTGCGAGTGACATGTCCAGCTACAGCCCGGCCGGCGGGGCTCGGTGGTTGAGTGTCGACCTAGGAACCAGGAGGTCACAGTTTGATTCCTGGTCAGGGCACATGCCTGGGTTTCAGACTTGATCCCCAGTGGGGGGCGTGCAGGAGGCAGCCGATACATGATTCTCTCTCATCATTGATGTTTCTATCTCTCCCTCTCCCTCCCTGAAATCAATAAAAACATATTTTAGAAAATAAATAAATAAAATGTCCAGCTATAATACTTCATGGAAAAAAGGTCTGACACTCAAGTTGCGAGTCTTACAAAATATGCATATGTATGCAGATAGCTAAATGATGGAAATGGAGAGAAAATTCAAAATATGATTGGCACACTTTAAAAGCTCACATTTGAATTAAATGTTATCAGAAGCAAATGTATATCTACAGACACACATATTTTAAATTTATATGTAAAACAAGTTTATCTTGATGTGGGATTAAAGAAAATGAGCCACAATTATGTAAAACCTTCCCGGAAGCAAGCTTTTAATAAGCTCCTTCAGATGCGGAATTTTCCAACTGGAGCTCAGGTACCCGAGTTAGGTCCCTGGGCACCAGGCATTGGCCACCCTCCTGCACCCAGAGCTCCCTCCGCCCCACCCAGCCTCAGGGGGGAGGGCAGGATGCCTCCGGGCTATGACCTTCCCGTACCTGGCCAGGTGCACTCTGGCTACCCCTCCAGGAGGGCAGGGAGCCTCCAAGTTCTCAGGCTTCTTCCCCGTACCTGTGCCCCTGCCCTTATCCAGCCCTGCTCAGGAACGCTCTCTCCTGCTCCCTCCAGTCCCCATCTGCACACCCTAAGCAGGTCCGCCCTCTGCTGGGCATGGCGGCCTGGCTCACCCTGCTTCTGAGAAGAGGAGAGGGACCTGTAGCCCTGCTTTCCTAAACGCAGGCAGCTCTGAAGCATGCAGCATGGCCTTTTGCAGCCTGGGCTTCCCAACCTCCCGATCTCCTCTTACATCCATAGCGTCAAAACAGTTCCACCCCAGCCGGAATGGCTCAGCAGACAGAGCGTCGGCCTGTGGACTGAGGGTCCTGGCTTTGGTCTGGTCAGGGGCACATGCCCGGGTTGTGGGCTGGCTCCCCAGTGTGGGGTGTGCAGGAGGCAGCTGTAAATGATTCCCTCTCATCACTGGTGCTTCTCTCTCTCTCTCCCTCCCCCTTCCTCTCTGAAATCAATAAAAAAATATTTTTAACAAATGATGGAGCCGTGGACCTTTGCCGGTGTGGGGACCCCTGAGCCGCCGCATACACTTGTAACGGACGAGCAGCCCACTGTCCATGTCCAAGTTTCACAGCAACCCTTCCCATGAGCACGTATGTTACCCAGGGAACAGAATGGAGCCCA